TGAACCGGAACGTGGGAGCACCCGGACAGCCATGATCATCCACCGAGTGCAGCCCATCGGGAGTCCGCCGGTCCGGCCAGCCATAAAAAAGTCGGGAGATAGCGAAAACTCCCGGATCGCCGCCCCGAGATGGGTCAGGGGGCGGAACCACGGGGGCCCCGGCCACACCGGTGCAAGCACCGTCGCCTCGATGGAGGGCTGGGCCTGTAGAAGAGCCGTGAGGCGTCCCAACAGGCTGAATGGTGGGTTGCACCAATTGCGGTGGTGCGTCCAGTCCACTTGGGCGAAGGCATCGATCCCGGCGGTGAAAGGGCACCACCAGCGTGAATTGAACTGGGGTGTACGGCGATTCTCGGTGTTGGCGAAGCGGTCCATGGTGTACGGACCCCAGGTCGCATCCAGCTCCCGAAATATCCTGGGGTGCACCGTCCAATCCTCGCGATCCAAGAAGCGGCTCAGCTCGTCCGCCACCAGGTTGGCGGTGGTGGGAATCCACACCGGGTTGAGAGAGATGTTGAGAGTCGAAGTCAGAAAGAACACCTTGCGTAGGGCAGCCATCAGGGGGGTGGAAGCTGACGTCAGCTTGGCGAGGACGCACTGAACGACCTGACTGTCGGTGTACAGGTTCACCCGCCGCCCCGAGAGTTGCCGCCGGAATGACTGAAGAGCTTGCGCCACCGCCGTCATCTCGAGCACGTTTATGTGAGAATGACGATCGGTCGCCGCCCAGAACCCCCGAGCCAAGACTGGAACCGGACGGGAAGACGGGTGCTCGGGTGGGACTGTCAGAGTCGCTCCCCACCCGTACAGGGAACTGTCCGTGTGAACTGTCGCCGTCGCCGGAGGCCGCCAAAGTACTGAGGCGGAAGTCCGGGGTCCCAAATGGGCCCAAAATGCCAAATCTGCCAGCGATTGGCGAGAGAGGCGCAGCGTCCCCTGCCAGCTCGTCTTGGTCGCCAGGTTGTCGTACAGAGACCGCAGGAAGAACCGGGCGGACGGCACTGGGAGCGAGAGTCTCTGGCCGCGGCCGCAGAACCGGGCGAGAACCCGGGCCTTGAGCGGACGGCGGCGATGGGCAAGCAGGCGGGCGGCATCCGCGTGGAGCTGGGCCACCCGATCGGGCAGGGCGATCACCAGGCCCTGTGCCGTGTCGAGGAGAACGCCCAGGTGGCGGATCAGGTGAGTGGGTTGCCACTGGCACTTGCTGGCCTTCAACACGATGCCCAGGGCCTGGAGAAGAGTCTGTACCATGGTGCCCCACGTTGCCGTCGCCGCGTGCCCCAACAGGCCCCCCACGAAATCGTACATGTACGGGGAAAGGACGGGGGAGGGATTGGCCGCCCAGTAAGCCGCGAGGGCAGGATGGGTCGGGCGGCGCCAAGCGGCTACGCGGGGGGTGCGCAGAAAGGCGACGAGGGGCCGCATCAACTTGGTAAAGACGGGGGGGAGTTCATCCATCCGAAGCAAAGGCCGGGCGCCTCGAAAAGCTGGCCATTCACCGTGAACTAAAAATACCTCACGGCTTTGGCCTCCATGCGAAGGTGATGGAAGGCATCGCGGACGTCCCAGCCGATCAGGTGGTGCCCCTGGCGTAGAGTGGGCAGAAAAGTCCGCAGTGTCTCGAATTTCGTTGATAACTTGGTGGTGTGTTGATTGAGGTGACGAAGGTCCACCACCAGCCGGAAGCCGCCGTCCTTCTTCGGGATCATGAAGGCGTGGGAGACGTGGGTGGCCGGGCTGCGGGAGTAGCGGATGGCGCCCGTCTGCAGGTAATGGGTCTTGAGGTCTTCCCATGCGGCGAGCGCTGACCCCGCGAGCCAGCATGTCCCGTGATGGAACGGCGGGGGCGGTTGATGGTTCCACACCACCGGAACGCCCTCCCGGATCCAGCACAGAATCGTGGAAGAGGCACCCAGTTGGCGCCAGAGGGCGATGTTGCGGCGGAGCCGCGTCGAGAAGAACTGATCCCCCGGGGATGGAGGGGGGGGAGGGGGCGGGGCCCAACGCCGGCAGGGGGTCCCCTCGGGGGATGGTGGCCTTGGCGTGGGGACATGCCCGCTAACTCGCAGCTTGGTAAGGGCGGCTGCGATCGCCCGGAGCTCCGCGGGGGAGCTCATGCAGCGTCTTGGAAGGGGTTGCCAGACGGGGCCGGGGAAGAACCGCCGGCACCGGAGCCCCGTCCGCGACCGCCGCGATTGCCCGACCGGCCACGCCCTGTCCCACGTTGGCTGGAAGCTTGAGAACCGGAGCCGCCAGTGCCCCGACCGTCGCGTCGTCCGCGAGCAGCCCCCTCAGCCTGGACCTTGAGGGTGGATTTTTGGATCTGGGCGCGGATCGCTTCGGTAGTGGCCGCCTCCAAAGTCGTTTGGTAGCGGGCTTGGGCACCGGCCAACTGAATGTTGGTATGGAGGCTCTTGTAGGCTTCAGACAAAGGGGTGCTGGCGTAGGACGCTTGATTGCGGCGCACAGCCAAGGTAGCAGAAGCGAGGTCGGTAACGTCGGCGTAGAGGGAGACGAAGGGCTCCAAGGCGGCCTTGACCTCCAGTGGAATGGACTCGTGGGCCACCAGGGCGATAAGGCGGATCTGTAGATCGAAGAGAAACGAGACCACCGGCGCCCAATTCGCGTACTCCGCGAAATAGCCCGATCGGTGGCCCAAAGCTTGAGCCACAGTGATGCCGTCGGCGGTCTGCAGAACGTCGAACCACTTGCCGAACTGGGAGGGTGGGCGGGGAACGGGATTGTTCCTGGCCGGTTGAATGTTCTCGCCTGATCGCAGGACCAACAAGTCGGCGAGCGTAGGGGAGAGAGGAGCCGCAAACCGTTGGGCCAGAGCCTGCAGACGATCTGCGACCTCCTTGGCAGCCAATTGGGCGCGAGATTGCTCAGACAAAGCCGCCCGCTCCGCCGGATCCGCAGCTCCCGAAGATGATGCAACACCAGGCAGTTGGCCCAACAAGGTCTGAAGGGCCTTGACGACCTCCTCAGGGTCGACAGGCATAGGAGCGTCGGCGATGGCCTACTCCAGAGGTGCGGAAAACACGGGCAATGGCCCGGCGCAACAGATCCTTTCCAAGGATCGAACACAATGCCGATGGGACCGGCTCGCTGCAACGCGACACGCAGTTGGAGCAAGAAAACAAAGTGCAGTATGGCTCCTGACAGGTCTCTTAGGCGGCGCCGCCACTTGCGACCCACTCGGAGCCGTTGGAAGTCGTCCCGTCATGCTTGTCGGCCCCAAGGTTCCCTGGCGCCACAGCCTGCGCGCGCTTCTGCCAGGACGAGAAGACAGAGCCAGCCGAATCACCTGTGAGTCACTGGAATTCTCCCGCCCTATTTCCGGGCCTACCGTAACCTCGCCTACTATGCGTAACCTACACGTCTGCGACCACATCAACTTGGATTGCATCCATCTGACAATGCGGGCCGCGTTACGCGGCACAAGGCACATGAATTACCGCCACACTCACGTACGCGCACACGTACGCCACAGGGCAAAAAGCCTGGAGCTGATTGAATGCCGCGCCTGACCCCTGTTCGCCCCCGCCCCACTTTTTGGTTCAAACTTTCCCGTGGCACCCCACGCGCACCCCTCCCCTCCCTTCGCGCCCCTTTTCTGTCCTCTCTTCCCCCCGCCCCCCGCTTCTCTTACCCCTTGCCGGAGGACCAGCGCCGGGAGACCGATCGGGATGGTGCCCGCCCCTTCGGGCAGGCTGAGCGGGCTGGATGTCGCTGTGGCGTTGGGATCCATCGCGCTGGTGTTCTGCGTGGCGGCGTGCGGCGCGATCCGGCGCGGGGCGCGCGGCGCCAAGTCCGAGGCGTTCTTCCTCGCGGGGCGCGCCACGCCGTGGTGGATGGTGGCCGCCTCCCTGTTCGCCTCGAACATAGGTGGGCCGCGATGGCCCGGTCGGGCAGGGCCGCACCGTCCATGTTGGCCAGTCGACGCCCGAGGGCGCGGCGCGATTGTTTCCATTTTTCCATTTTTCTTTTTCTTTTCGCTTTCGTTTTCGTTCTCTGTCCTCGGCCGGATCGGGCGACGTCTCCCGGGGATGAGCAGGGGCCAAGTGGCTTGGCCAACGGCCCGGATCGCGCAGAACCGCGTCAGCCGCATGTGGCCGGTGCGGGGCGCCAGAACCAGTGGATCGCGGGGGCTCCGGCGCGAGGCAGGTCGTTTCCGCGCCCGGGAGCCTTCGGAGCGGGGCAGGTCGTTTCCGCCCCTGGGAGCCTTCGGAGGGTGGACAGCAGCAAGCAATCGCACCTTTTGGCGGCGGTTGGGGCGTGCCGTACGGCCTCGCCGCAGCCGTTGCGGGGCCGCTCTTGTGCGCGCGGTCGCGTCGCGGCTCCTCGACTGCCGCCAAAGGGGCCCCGCGGGACAAGGGGGGACGTCGGGAGGGGTCCGACCGGCTCGTCCCTGAGCTCACTCCGCCGTTTTCGCGAAGCACGTGGGAACCTGGTGGCCATCGGGACCTGGCCGCTCGCATTTTGCGGGTGCATGCGTGTGGTCGGCTGCCCCCAAGGCAAACAATTATCATCACAGTTGTACAGAGCAACTCGGCCAATTTCCCACTTGTCTTCTGCTTTGACGGGCATGTTCTGTCTCGAGCTTGCAAACGCACTTATGCGATGCAAATACCTTTACAACATTGCGATAGGTTGGCTCGACCCAGGGTGCAGAGGAGCAGCGCTGCGACAATTGTGTGGTGGTCAGGGACCCAATATATCTCTTCCCTGGGTCCCAATGGACGAACATGCACGTTGCCATGTGGCAACTGCGATTCGTTGAACCAACGTCGGGCGCTCTTTCCGTCTGGCTGTCTTCAAAGAAGTGTCCGTTCCCCATCGCCACTGCCGGCGCTTCTCCCTATCAGCGCGAGGTAGCTGAAACGCGCTGCAAATATTATTTACACAGTGAAATTTGTACTGCGTCATGATAGTGTGCGGGTATTGCTTGTGGGGTCACGCTGGGAACTACGTGCGCAAAAGAGCACCAACAATAAAGAATGCGCAATTTATTCAGATCCAAAACGCGGGCTTGCACCAGCAGTTCACGATTGGACATGGCGCAGACATGCAACAGAAGGCCGCGAGATCCGCAGAGTCCTTGGCAACGCACATTCGCTATTGCTATAGTACTTTGGAAGCATCCACCCGCATCCTTTTCCGAAAAAATGAAGATACGAATGCAATCCATCCGCCTTTGCTCTTGGCAAAATCGGCATATATTCTGCCGGGTGGGTTCTAATGGGTGCGCTGCCCAGTTGCTAGGGACCGAGCACTTTGTGGGACAGGCGGGCGCCGCTGCACTGGGTGGCATGGCGGTGGGGCTGTATGAGTGGACGGCCGCATACCTCGTGGTGTCGTTGGGTTTTTTCTTCGCACCCATCTACTTGCAATGCCAGTTGACGACCATCCCGGAGTTTCTGGAGGCCCGATACAACAGGTGGTGCAGGTGAGAGGCAATCCGATGGTACAGGCTTGAGGATACCGTGTTCATGGGTTTGCGAATTCATCAAAACGCAAATTCATTCACTGATACCGTTTCGGTTTGGGCGTTTTCCGATATCGGAGGTCAAGGGCTTTGCTTTGTTCCATTTGGCGAATATGGTCATCATATTTCTGCACACAACTTGTGTGTTTCGTGCTGGCCAATTGAAGCGTGAGGACCTTGTCGACGTAGAAACTTCTACGACCTCGGAAAGATTCAAATTTGTGTACATTCTTTGCTTCGTCAGCTTCAAATCAAATCTTGAGACAACCATATACTTGTTCCATATATGGCCATCAACTGAGCCAAATTTTTCCTTTTTCCACAGAATTGTGTCCTGTTTGCATCGCGGCATCGTGCGCATGCCGCGCTTGAAATCCCGTTTTTGAATTGCGAAGCATGACATTGGTCCAAAATGCCTTTCTTGTCCTTCTAACTTTCTCAAGCACTCTCACTGCAGGGGCCTCTTTGTGCTCATTAGCCTCATTGCTTACATTCTGGCGAAGATTGGGATATGCCTCTTCGCTGGCGCCGTCGTTTTCGAGGTACCAAATCGTTCAAGGAAGTATTCGCAAATGTCATGGACACTTGCTAGAGCGCAATGCCGCTGTAATTGTAGCAAAATGGACGAGGGGAAATGCCGAACTTCCCCAAGCAGTCGCCAAGCCTTGGGGCCAAAATTGCAAACCTTTTGTTGCCACAAACTTGAAGCGATGGAACTTTTCAACAACGGATCTGAATGTCCTGCCTGGAATAGGTTCACCGGAGAAAAGGCTTTCAGAAAACTGCGCAGTACAAGCTTCCAATCGTTCTGATAATTTTTATCCTTGATAGTTGGTTGTCTACTAATTACTGCAATCTGGACAGCGGTCAAACTTTATCAGCTCAGCATTTTCCGAACATTACGTATGCATCTTTTGTGCACAGAGAACTGGATGAGATGAGACACATGACTTGATATGTCGCGACTTTTGTGCGTGCAGGTTGTGGCTGGAATCGGGATGTGGTCGTCAGCTCCCATCATTATAATAGGCACTGCCCTATACACAATGGCGGGAGGTCTGACGGTATGTCATCTGAATATTCGGCAATCACCTGCACGCAGCGCACGACAAGTGCACCGCGTGCTAGAATGCGCAGGTGTCCAGCACAATTCCTGTGCACGATTTTATGCCATACATCACGTGTATGGTGAAGACGAATGAACACATATTACCTATTGGCATAAAAATGGCAAGTTCGATGCTCACCATTTGCAAGCGTGATGATGTGGACTCTCCAGTATGGGAACATGTTGCTTGATTATCGCATTACATGAAATCAACTTCCCCATGCTGCAGCCCCGAACTGGTCTTGTTCCCCGCCTTCTTTGGACATGCATTGGTCTTTACAGATTTCTGTTCCAGAATTCGGCCGCCATCTCATACAAGACGCGTTCTGCATTGTTTCTACTGCGATCCAGCATTCCACAGTGGGAGATAACAAGTTCCTTTTATAAGGCGTTCTGTACATGCACGTCTCGCTCGCCGACATGTCGTGCAGGATGCAGCTGATGCTGCAGTCCGATCGATGGAATAGTTGTTGATTGTTGTTATAGGATCCCATAACTTTTAATTCTGGGCGGTGTGCCGCTGAGCAGGCCGTCATGTGGACCGACGTGGTGCAATGGGCGATCTTCGTTGGAGGAGGTCTGATGGGAACCGTGTTGTCTCTCGATCTCGTGGGAGGCATGTCCGGCCTATTCCAGAAGTTGGAGAGTTTCGGACTGGACAGTTTTCCGCATGTTCTGCGTCCTCCAGCCGGGAAAGAATATCCATGGTGAGTTCAACGCAAAATTAGTGGGATCCGCTCGTGCTTGCATTTTGAATTCTACTAGATGGATCTTGGCTGTCTTGCAGTAACGGACCAACACCTGATGGTCGCGATTGATCAAAAATTGAATGACATCGCGTTGGCAAGCTCGTGTTCGGCCGTTCTATGGAATCGCCAACTGCACCAACTGGCCACTTCTCCATTCTGTTGACCATGGCCTCATTGATCAGATATCCGCCCGTTAGGCGGCCATGTTGTTTTTCTCCGCGTCACCTTGCTCATATATGGTCAAATCTGGCAGATTTGACATAAGCAGTGCTTGTGTCAACAATCGCGGAAGGCTCTATCTCTGGGCGCGTCACCCCTGACAGCGGCGCATCAGGTGGAAACTCACGGCTACCATTCCAAACCCCTGATTGGCTCACTATCTCAGGTTGCACCGTCCCGACAGTAGCAGCCATACAACTTCCGGTAAAATGAAATGTTCGATGCATAGAGTTGTGGCCTACCGAATTGCATTCGACACAGGAATATGCACTTCATAACGCTCATACTGCCCAGGCACAGTGCTACTCTGTTTCCTTCGGTATCAAATCACACGGGGCAATCCAGCTGTGGCGTGTACTGAAGAGAACCCAACTCGCTCCGTTCCATTTCGGCCATTGCGTCACCATGGGCAACATCTGACGCCAGTGGCGCGGAAATTTAGATATTCTCGAAGAACTGGCGGCAAACGCTCATGCAGGGCTCTGAATACACATGAGAAAGCCGCTCAAACCATGCAGAAAAAGCGCTGCCAAAACTCAAGCTTCGTAATAAAGTCGGCGAATTGTCGTTGGCAATTTTGAGGCCTCACTTCGATCATCGCCGCGACCCCACCCCAGGCCAGGAATGCTGTTTGGCATCCCCACCGTGGCCCTGTGGTACTGGTGCGTGGACCAAGAGATGGCCCAGAGGGTGCTGAGCGCCAGGAACCTGTCGCACGCGCGCCTGGGAACATCCATTGCGGGTCTCATGAAGGTGCTGCCGCCCTTCATCACCGTCGTGCCGGGCATGGTGGCGCGCGTCCTCTTCGAGACCTGCCGCGCCTCGCCGGCGGGAGGGCGGGAATTTGCTCGCTGGTGCGACGCGAATCTGGACGAGGCGGCTGGAGCCAACAGGTGGGCTGGAGGCGCCGCATCGCAGCTGTTCGATCGCTGCCGCGCTGTGTTCCCGATTTATTTGTGCGGCCAACTGCCTGATTGTTCTTTCTCCATGTACCGCGAAATATTCAACCCTTCCGCATAGCGACTTGACGCTCTGAACACAAGACGGAGCAAAAAGCGTAACTTACAATTTCTGACGCAAAAGGGTTGATATACCACAGCAAACAACGGTCCTTGTGCTTGGCGTCGTTGTTTGCAGCCCACGATGAACTGTGAAGCCGAATACTCTGCGCATAAACAACATGCCATTAAGCACAGCTTTTCATGGATACAGCTTTCCATGGACAAAATGGGCTGCACTGTCCCCGCGTCTTCACATGCGCGCTTTTTGAACTGAATGCGCCACAATGCAATCAAGCCTGTGTGATTGGCTCACTTGTCGGTGCACTGGAGACAGGGCGTACCCACTGCTGGTGATGCTTCAGTTCCCCGAAGGCGTGCGGGGTGTCATGGTGGCCTCTTTCCTGGCGGCCATGATGTCGTCCCTGGCGGCAGTGTTCAACTCGGCAGCCACGGTGTTCACGTACGACGTGTACCTTAGATTTTTCCGCGAGGAAGGTGGGAGCAACAGTGAGCGGAAACCGCGCAGCAGATGCGGAGCGGCGTTGGCGCTTGAAGCGCTTCAAGCGAATCATGCGCAAACTCGCAATTTTGCGTTTCTTGTACTTCCTGTAGCCCTGCTCCTACTTCGTGTACTTGTTGTGCTCCTTGTACTTCCTCTGCTTGCACCATTTGTCTCGTGACACGAACATTTGCCTGCGACAACGTGAGCGCTCCCACGATGTCGTGATGCAAAGAAGTTGCCTACACTGCGCTCGAACTTTGACATAGAGGCAGTCGCTGTCGCACGTTAATATCCACCATGCTGTCGCGACTCTCAACTCGATCTCCCCGGGTTGCGGTTTCGATGTGCGGTGCTGCGCACTTCACGTGATTGACGACAAGGCGCTGCAGCCAGCGCAAATAGACATGGGCAATGCGGACGACATAGTGACGCCTTGGGATCTGAACAAACTGAATCGATTAGTGGATGGAAAGGAAGCCACTGATGCCCCTACCCTAGGTGTCCTCACCATACGGTCCATCCCTCGCAGGGTCTTTGCAATCTAGGCGAGGCGCAATTGCGCCATTTTGTTTGTATTGCTCCTCCGCACTGATTCTACATCAGTGTAACTCCATCCAATAACAGTAAAGGACTAGATGTTGCCATAACTACCTAACTGGAACAGTATCGCTTGCACTACAACAACTGCGTTAAGTGCAGGCGAACACGGCACTCGTCTTGTCAGAGATGACCCCGGTCACTCGTGCACCACCATTGACTAGTAAAACACAGGCCAAGGCACACGGTTTGGAAGACCATGTACCGTATCGTAGCAGGATTAAAAATCGCTTAAAACTTGCGCATTTGTTGTAGCAAAATGAGACAAAACCGTGTTCTCACGAATGACTGAGTGCACCTGATTTTGCACATTTTCGCGAGGTTTTACGCGATCCTCGCGCGGTCAGAAACCGTGCACGTTGGCCGATTTTTTTCTTGTAATTTCAGGGTTTGCATCCCCGAGGCACCTGGTCTTCGTCGGGCGACTGGCCACCGCCGGGCTCACCCTCCTGTCCCTGCTGTGGCTGCCCGTCATCCAGTCCAACAGCCGCGGCGTGTACATAGTGGCGCAGACGGCGATGTGCCACCTGGCACCACCCGTCTCCGCGATCTTCGTCCTGGCGGTCGCCTGGAGGAGGGCCAACGGTCAGGGGGCGCTCGCGGGGCTCCTGGTGGGCTGCCCCGTCGGCGTCGCCCAGCTTGTGGCCGCGCTCATGTACCAAGACACGTGCGCCGCCATGTCGAGCCGGGACCTTGCTCAGGTGGGCGTGGCCGTGGTGCGCTCTGTTGAGTCATGTGTTGCGGGTACACAACGGACGCTGACATGCACGTCTCTTGTCGTAACACACATGTGTAGGAAATATTCTTCTTGTTACTCAGGTGGGCGCTCCCACCTCGAGCGTGCCCGACGGCCCTTTCTCGGAGGCGTGGATTCCGTCGCCGAGTTCCACCAGTGCGTATCTGATTGCCCTGCTTGGGGCTTTCGTAGAACGTGCCTCATTCGTTGATTGCTCGTTTTGGTAGACGACATGAGCACGCAGTTGGCTCTTATTTCCACCACACTTCTGAGAGCACGTTGTTCATAGAAATATTGCTTGCAAAATCCGCATGCATTCGGGAATGCTTCCGATTGGGCTCCTCAACTAAGCAGTGACTTTATCGTCAAATCGTTGCCCATTTGCGTCGGCGGCAAGGCCTCAATGGACTGTAATCAGGATGCGCCGGTGATTGAATGGTGAGAGATTGGATACTGGACAGACCCACTCGGCAATCGCCATCTGGCAACGAATAGTCTGCGCTTTGCAGGTGGGCAATGCAATTTCAGCGGTGCTAACCTGCTCACCAAGACTTGCCAGTACTGGAAAGTGGTGCCCAGACTTGGTGATGCGCATTGCGAATGCCTTTCCAACGCCACTGCGCCTCCGGAGTTGTCAGCGATACGAAGATCTGTGGATTCTGGATCGATTGACAGATAACAACATGGAAATTTGATGTGCATTGTCACCAGCTGCAAGTTGCTGCGTACCGGCTGCGTTGCGCAGCGGTACAGAAAAGCACCAGTCCGAAACCGAGGATCGCCTCGCTCGGTTCGACCAACGCGTTCCTGTCGAAGGCAATTGTCCCGCACAAGGGAATAAACCATTAAGTCAATGATATCGGGTGTTGGTGGTGACTTGCCTTTGCCACCGCGCAGTTTGTGTCAACGATTCTTTTAGCTACATTTGTCATGAGGAGGCGCATTTGCGAAGAATCACACAGTGTGCAAAACCGCTCAGGGATGTCAGCCGCAAATGAGTGTTCCGCAGCCACGTTTCTTGTTCCGTCATGTTTTCTTACACAATGTCAGGATTTCCATCCCTTGGATGCATCCATTTTTCCATGGGATGTTCAGGGATGCGGATCGCGCATTCGACAGCACGTTATTCATTCAAGACACCTGCTAAAGGAGAAGCAGCTAAAAGCAGATGTCTAGCGGAAAAATAGCAGATGTCTGGAGTCATCGATGCGTGCATACACGAGGAAACAGGCGTGGATAAATACCCCTATATCGCCTTGCAGGTGAATGGGCGATACCTCGCTGAGTCTTTGCCGACGTAGCCAAAGAGGACTTGGTACCTTCGGCAGCGGCTTGCCTCGAAAGAATGATTTGCTCCCGTCAGCCATCGTCGCAGCGCTCTGCGCCGTTGACTGACTTTGAGAATGCAGACCCTCATGAGGTGGTGCGCAGAGAGCGGCGCAGCAGCAGCGGGGAGGTAGGCAGCGCCGCAGAGCCACGGCAATTCAAGCAGAAGAAGACAAATTACACACAAACCTGACGATGATCCATAGAAAGACAAATGGCAAGGCTCCGCAACTTACAAAATGTGCCTTGGGTCACCAACAAGGTCGCTGTCCGGTTGTATGGCATTCTCAGTTTGAACCTGGGGCTACTCATGCTAATGCCTTTGTGGCGGCGCGGTGCGCATACGAATTCTCATGCTCTTGTGCGTTTGAACAGCCCTCTGCACCATTTTATTGGCTTCTGTGCCTCAATTTCAACTACGTGGCCATCTGCCTATTCGCACTGACCACGGCAGTGACGGTGACGGTGAGCTATTGCTTCCCACCTCCGGAGCCTCACCAGATTCGAGGTGAGTGCTGTGCCAGAACGGCCTGTACGCAATAGCATCTACTGAATAGATGCTGTGTAGAGTGGAGACGGCGTCAGTTTCGCATGCACGAAATGTGGAGCGTTGGCCCCCACGTTGTGCGGAAGTGAACAAACATTGAGACACAGACAAATTGAAATTATGCACAATATCGCCTACAAGGTGCCAGGGCTGTGTTCTGTCAAATTTGTTGATAAGTGTGATTTCAAGAATTTGAGCTCCCACGTTGCGTTGGACATCATTCAGCATCGCTTCCCCCGCATGGATGCTGTTGCTGGATCACTGTGGTGTGGCGCTCCGACTGAACGCCCAGCCGCCGGCAGGTGTAGTCTCACTGAAAACTGCTGGCGTAATTGGACTGCGGCGTACGTTCCAGAGCCAGCAAGAACATGCCCTCGAGCCTTCTGGCTCCATACCATGCGCGAGGGTGCCACGCGCAAGTAGCCGCTGCCGACTGCACACGACATGGTGATCCGCAGGCAGAGTTTGGGAGTTCAGGCCACTGGCCTGGTGGCGTGGGGAGGGAAGTCGCAAACAGCAAGGTCCGCCCGGGCAACATTGGGAGGGGCCACACGGTCTTCCTACGGGCTCCGAGGGAGACCTGGAAGCGATTGCTCCTCTGGTCGACCACGGCGGAGCATCCAGCGAGGTGGAAGCGACAGGGTATGCACACGTCGCCAATCTGGTGCCCCAATCGCATTGACTTTTCCCAACGCGGTTTTGCATGAAGATGGTTCGAATATCACGCTTCGAAGGGCACAACGAAGGCTGCGGCCTTGAAACAGCATCAACAAACGCAGACGCTTGTTCCTCGCAAACTCGCAATAGCCAATATAGCAGTGCCGCTCAATCAACCGAACAACAGCAGCTGTCTTTGGCTGCACGTGCCTGACCCAAACAATCCCTGGCCGTCGGCATTCTATCATTCATTCGATCTTCTGCCTGTCGGTCATCCACCGTGAGATTGTGAGGAGCTGCTCGCTCAACATGTAGAATACTCTGATTGGTCGATTTGCATATTGGTGTTGCAGATGCAGCCGCTGGCAATCGAAGGGTGGCGATCCGGAGGGCGAGTGTTACATGGCGTGTGCTAGCTCCGAAGCTCGGACGTGGTTTGACAAAAACATGGGCAGGATTGCTGTGCTCGCGGGCATTGCTGTGCTTTGTACAATCAGCGCTTTGATTGCAGTGTTCCACTGATCATGTCTTTGTTAGAAATACCCGTTGCTGGCACATACCAGCTTCGGCAAGTCGTGCTCATGGCACCAACAAGCGAAAAAGTGAATTTGGTGGACTAGGCTTTAGGTAGGTGACTATCCTAGGCGACCGCGCTCGTTCGCTAAGACGTTATCCACCGGTCTGCAGGGTGTCAGGAGAATTGGCGGTGCTGCATGCACTGCAGGATGTGGTATCGAATGCATTGATGATGTTGAATTCGGGAGGGCAGCATGTCGCAACACATCTATGCAGTCCTCTGAGGTCAGGAGTCGCGAGCAAAGCAACGCCTGGCCAGCTCCAACTTCACGACTAAGCTGCTCTTGAGACCTGAGCACGATGCCCACTGGAAGTTCCCAAATTGAGTTGTGGCAGCTCCAAATCAAGTCCCACCAAGAGCTCCCAGCGCAATTTGGCAAAGAAATACTCCAGCTGAATCATTTAGACTGTGCTGCGCGCATCGCGCCATGGCATAAGCACCAGGCATTGCCTTGCTCTATAAAACTTGATGAATAATGAATGCCACGATATGGGCATGCTCAGCGGACGCTTAACATGGATGGCGCGGCGGACATTGGGGCCGTACACAGTGAACAGAGCACATTGCATGTCGGGTACGGCGCTATGGTAATGGCGGCATCGTGGGGTTGATGCAAATCGGCTTCGCGATATCCCAGCTGAAGATTGTCCAACACTGCCATGCAAAAATGCGTCCATTGATGCCGGTGCACGCTCAAAGAGTGCTCCCGCTGTTGTTGGCACATTCGAAACTCACAAACACAGAAATACTCGACAAGGTTGCTACTGTCCGAGGCTCTGATCGAACGCTTGCAGAACAGGCATCTCTTCTCTGCACTGCAAACGTGTGTGGTTGAGCAGCAGCTTCTACAGTGGATATCGTTTTCGACAGCATGATGAGGTATGTTGCCCAAAGCCTTTCGCTCTTGGAGGGCAGGGGCGTGTATATCTACAACTAAGCGCATACGCTTATGCACATTCCTGAACACCTCTGACTATGGAAGTGGTCAATGGTCGCCCTTTGAAAGCCATGTGCCAGCTCTGCGTCCATTTAACCAGTAAAGTATATACCACAGGGAGAATACTGCAGGATTTTCGCAACAGAACATCTTACACGACATTAATAACACCTGCGCTGTTCAACGGCTTTCAGCAGTTTTTTCAGCGGTAGGCGATTATCAACGAGCTAATTGTACACACAACCCCAGCGGCCATGACGTTGGCTATCAGCTGCTGCCGTCCGGACAGCGCCGCTTGGATTCTAACAAGTACCTTCTGGGCTCCGGATGCTCGCTTCGACAGGGACAGCTCCGACATCGATTCCTCCATCATGATTACGCCATCAAAGGGAGCCACTTCGTCATCAACTCGCGGCGACCTGTGAGCTCATGCGACAAAAGTTAAACAGAGAACCGCGCCAACTTATCGCCATCTGCAGAACACCTCACAAGCTTTGCGCCATTGGTACAGTACATTAGGTATTATCGCACTGTGAGAGGTTAAAGTACTGCAAGCGTTGCAATACTGTGTTGCAAACGAGAATGCAAGATATGGTGGGAAAGGATGATTTGACACCCAGTCACACACAAGATGACCTTGGGATTGAGCACCAATATCCTTTATTCAGGAGCGAATCACAAAAAAATCCAGCACACCAAGAGGTAAGGTCACATTGAGTTCATCCAGGAATCAGGCTTGTGTTCAGACAATGTCGCATCCTTCGTCATGCACCAGTGCTAATGCACCAGCAATTCTCTTGTTGTGTACCGATTAGACCCTTCGAGGAGTAGCCATATCTTAACCATTAACAGAACGGCTTCGTCGCAAAAGGTCACCTGTACTTGTCCCCCACCCCCACATTTGTGTTTTGGCAACTGGAATTCTGTTGACCAACTCTTACAACATACAGGGGGTGTCACAACATTGCTTGCCTTTTGCCGTGGCCATTTGGTATCGTTCCATCAATGGGATTCTCCCCGATAGTCGGCGGTGCTTCGGCAGCTGTGAAGCGATCGTATCTCACATTCCTGCCGACATCTGACGGGTCGCCAGAATGCTTATTGCAGCAACCCCATTGGACCATTCGACCTGCGCACACCAGCAGATGCACTGCATATCAGGATTGCTCCTGTCTAACGCGGCACATTCAGACAAAGGGGCATCTCCGGGATGGACACAACAACCATAAACAGACTCAGGAAACAAGCTACAGCTAGTATAGGCCTTCTGGCTGGTATCAACAACACAGCCACCCTAATGCAGAGGAACTGCATTGCCAAATGCTTCGCCATCATCAAACACACAGCCGAACAGTTGCATCTCAATCTCGTGAAATGTAATTCAAATGCACCAGCATGACAATCTACCCTCTGCATTATGCAATTTCAACACAGGGCGCGTCATCTTCAGCCAATATTCCATGTATCTGGTGCCGAAAGAATATATCTTGTCCAGTTCGCCAAACAGGGAGGCGCACTCCCACCTGCGATTTGATTTGGCCTTGGAGGCGGGAAAATGAAGCTCACGGTCACGATTACAAAAGTCGTGAACGCAAAAAGGACGAGGGCGAAGTAGTTGAAGTTCATGCACACGAGCCAGTCTGATGACGTGAGGTGCTGCAGGGGGAAAACATAGACACCTGTTGAGTGCCATATGGCGGCAGCATACTGGCTACACGAGCATCCAATTGTTTCTCAGTACTTCAACACCCCTTCAGACAAAGGGGGTACCAAACCACATTACCAAGACACATGTGTTGTGTCCACATTCCCTTAAACAGTACCTTTTGATGCTAATGCTGTCGCATCGTTATGCCAAAGCGTGCAATATACACCACAGTAAATATTCCATAACATATGCATGTTGGCCTGTTAGCATTGCATGCCTGCCAGCCAGAAAATGCAACACACCTTGGACGTTTCCAGACATTCACCGGTAGAAAACAGCCTGTTTGCGATGCCAACTGCGTTGCCATTTGACGGAAATTGATGCCACCACAGCCCCTTTTATGCCATCGCAATCACTGTGATAGCATCAATTTGTGTCAAATGGCATCGCACCTGGCATCGCAACATGGCGTTTTCTACCAGTGATTGTTGGCGCTTCTCGCCAATGCTATGCCACTAGCTTATCACAGAACGCTCGCGGTTGCAGACATCAAAGCGCTGCTTTGAAGCCTTCTGTTTAAAGGTTGTAAGGCTCTCATAGCCCACCTCGCACACTCCAGCAATGCGCAACTCACAATGGAAACAAGTCTCTAACAAAGGATCTCATTCTTGCACTCGCACAAACGTGCGTATGTTGCAATATCATGTGCCCGTTGGAGGTTCAAGAACCTGGGGTTAGTCGAAGCTACATGAAAAATCACTGCAGCTGCTGCACAGTCTACACAGCGTGATGCCGCACTGCAGCGGCTGGCAACAAGGATGATTGGGTTCAGGCAGATTTTCCCTTCTGATGTTATTTAAATTGTGTGCATTTGAGGGAAAGAAGAACTGCATAGTTACAGGCATTGTGGTAAATGTTGCATTGGCCATGGCGTGCATCTCTGCTGAACCCATTTGATCAAGCAGCATCGGTTCCTTGCGGTCTAGCTGGACTTTAGAGCGCCAGTTGCATTGCCTTGAGCAAATTTTCTGAGAAAAAGGAAATGACAACATTTGAAAACAAGCACTGTGCATGCAAACATGCCCATCAACACCATGAAACAGCAAGCACAATGCCTTGTCTCTTCTCAACATGAACTATCAAAAGATTCAACAAACATCAGCGGAATTCTACAGTCTGCTCACCTGCCCTTCATTTTCATCAACGTGGTCACTGCACTCAGCCCTAGCAGCAAGACTAAACACGAGGCGCACCCCACCAATGAGGGTCCCCGAGGCCAGGCCTGCCAGGGCGCCTTCCCCATTGGCACGGCTCCAGAAGAGCCCAAGCACAAAGGTGGCTGATACGGGAGGGGCCAGATGGTTCATGGCCTTCTGGATGACCACGTACAGGCCATCGCTGCTGTGTTGGAGAACGGGCAGCCACATGAAGCTCAGCACAGTGAGACCCACAGTCGTTGCGCGCCCGACAAAGACAAGCTTGTGTGCAGGCGTTTCTCCTGAAAGAAACAGGACTGTCAATCTCCAACAAGAAGGGCCAGAACACATGCGAAGAATCACTTGCCATATTGCTTCGTCCTGTTTTGACCACAGTGATCAAGTGGATTTTGGTTATTGCAGTATATTTGGAGCAGGTCATGGAATGATCTTGCCTCTCAAGGGCAACGGCTGAGCCTCTCTTGCCACAGAGTGGCGACTGCTAAATCTAAAGAGTGTGGACAGGCAAACCACATTCCAACGTGGATATTGCTCCCTTTCGTTAAAGAAGTGCACAGACATTCTTTACAAGAAATGCCGGGGTGCACACAGCATGGTGATCCTACCTTTGTTTCAGACACAACCTGTATTTCACAGGCATGCATGCGCCAACAAACCTATCAATCTCACAAGCATACAATGCTGTAAACTTCAACGTTGCTCACTACTTGCTAACGAGAGTGAGATCAGCATATTTGGTCACAAATAAATGAAAAATTGACGCAATGGCTTTTCGATGTGTCTCTTCTGAGTTCTGATTATACCTTCAGGCAGGAAGAACCTTTGGTACACATCATAGGTAAAGATCGTTGATGCTGAATTGAAGACTGATGAAAGGGAAGACATCATCGCTGCCAAAAAAGAGGCTAACATGATGCCCTTGACGCCTGATGGAAATTGCAGCATCACCAAGTTGGGATAAGCTCTGTTGGCGCCATACTCCACATCTACACGCTTGTCGCACCATTCCTCATGTACTTTCCCAGCCGAAGGATCGTTGCATGCCTCAAATAGTGCACGTGCGACCATTCCAGGGACAACTGAGGGCGCAAGCAAATTAGCAGCCAGCATCAGTAGCATGAATAGTCATCACACCAGTTCCATTTTGCCCTGGACATCGTATGCTACCATCCACTCAGCAGCAACACACCTTCCCAACAATTCAGTTGCGAATCCAAGTGCTGATCGTCACTTGGAATTGGACAAGTGCAGCAATTGTGAGCAAAGTCGTTCAGCATGTCCAATAGCAAGTTCACAGACAAGATAACGATGCAGTGGTTGGAATACTATGTTGACAGCAATGTCAACATAGCATTCCAATCGCTGCATTGTTATCTTATCCAAAATTATCTCAATGGCAAGAGTGCACAAAAAGAGTCAAGCGTATCCAAGATTGCCTGCACATCTCGGTATGCATCTTTACAGCAAGCACATATGCTTCTGCACACACAAAAGCATCGTGCTCCTTGTTGGAATTAATAGATGTGAAAAGAGCCAGAAGGTGGGCTCCGCATAACGACCCCGTCAAGTAGAGCAAAGCTACATCATATTCCTAGCCACAGCTTGGAGGGGACCTGAGAGAGCGTGGGTATGAAGAAGGGGCTTCCAAGTTTTCTTTGTATGCTTCCTTTCTCTTCTGATTTGCAAAAATGACTGATCCGGCAGACATAAACAACCAATTCCAAAGAATCACAGTGTGTAGATTTGCATCCGCCATGCCCACTAGGTGCTAGGGCTGTGCTTTGTCTTTCTATAACAACTGTAATCAAGGAAATCAGCTGCTGCTGGTGACAGCAAAATAAAGTACATGGCCATCTCGGGCTGGGCCTTTCTATTGTGTTGGTGACCCTGGAGCGAATCACATGCACCCACAATTCCCAAAGCAGCAATCGCTGCCCATCTGTTAAAGGCCACCAGCCCATACACAGCACTGCTGAACTCCACAGGGACAGGCCATCATGATGATGTACCCATAGGCCATAGCTCAACCTGTAATAAAGACAGGGATGGACTTCATGAGGGCAGCCAGTGCAGTGCCCATTTGTGCTTGTTCCAAATTCGCAGCACTGAGCACCCGCTGGGCCATCTCCTGGTCAACGCACCAGTACCAGACACTGACCACCGGTATGCCCAGCAGCATCCCTGGCCTGGGTTAGGGAAACGAAAACAAAGTTAATGCAGAGACAAGTTGCTGAGATGGACATCAGGACAACCAATGTGACAACAGTTTGACTGCAAACATTTGCATTCAAGGCAAGAAGACAATGCAAAGCCACAGAATGAAAGTGCCGGTCGGCAGATGGAAGGCAGCCACAACAGGAAGACTCCTGTCCCACTGACGCTGTTTCAGGACAGGACGAAGATATTGAGTGTCATGAGGCATTGCTCTGCTGAAGCACAAGCGTTGGACTGATCCTTCATTTGTCATTGATCTTGGTATTCGCATATAGATTCTTTGTGTTCGAAGATTGTTTTGGAGGCCTTTTTCATCCTGGATATTTCCATGTGTACTCACAGTCCCCTTCTTCCAAGCTGCACTCACAGACCATTTCCTAAGCTGCATTGAACTGAACCCCAAAACCCAAATATAACAACAGAACCAAAGGTCAATAAAAACAGGTGGCAAACATCCAAAAACAACCGATGGCCACACAAGGTAGAATAGGCTGTAAGTACAATCAGCGCAGATGACAGCACATACAAATCACTCAGCACTATGCATTGCTTTCTATTCATTACTTTTCCATGCCCAACTCACACACGACAGGGGCTTGGGCTGGTTCGTGTGGGTGGAAATGCTGCAAAGCCTCGTGCAAGCTCACCAGGGAAATAGCCTGTCATTTGGCGGCCTTAGGGCATGCTCAAGTTGACTCAACGATCCACCTCGCACATTGCCAAGTGTGGAGAACAGACCAGAGATACCCCCAACCAGGTTCAAGGCATAATAGGACCCTATGAGGCCGCCAAACAGGAAAATGCACATCTGAAGTGTATCAGTGAGCATGACAGCCTGCACAGCAACACAGAATCTACATCAAAGCCCTGATGCCTGAAGGCCACTGCTCCAGACAATGAAATGGTGTTTCTGGCTTTCTGTACTACCATTTAGAGGCCTTCACAGACTGCTAGGAATATGATGCTCTGCAATTGTGCACATTCATCCCTCAAAGTTATGTCCCATGGATTATTGACTAACTGACAAGGTCACCAAGTCACCTTCAGACACATTGCGGAACCATCGGCCTTGTCCTAGTGCGCCTGCTGTTTCTGGCATTCTTTGCAAATGACGCAGTCATGCATTCGCCAAATTCAGATACTGCATATCAACATCAAATCCGAATTCTAGTCTGACCCCACTCTGGCCAGAAAAATATTTGGACACAACAACAGCAACTGCCATTACCCTTGCAGAGTGTTAATCTGAAAACAAGGCATGACCCAGGCGTCTTCCGATTTCATGTCATCAACAAAACATTCTCTTGGGTCAGGGATAGTGCCTGGACCAGCTATTGTGATGCTGTCCAAGGAAGTGAATAATGCACCATCGTACACAACAAAAACTGCAAGTATGCATAGAAAATGCAACATGCTTGTGGCAAATACTCTGAGCATATTGCATGCTGTTCCTGCCATATTTGTAGCCCTCTGCATTATTTTCCAGAACAGTAACAATGGATTCAATCCACAGCACTTGCTCAGGAGGCAGGGCACCTATGCCATGACATCATTCCTTTCTGTCGAGCAAGCACTCTTTGTATTCCCAGTCCCCATTCCTTTCGATTCCAAAACATTGGAAGTACTGCAATGTTCAAGGCTGGACATAGACCCACACTCAAACTGCTTGGCCAGCCGCTTTTGATTGTACCCCCCGTCGATCCATCTTGCCAATACTGAAGCAGCACACAGTTCCTGCAACTGTGCTCACCGTGAGGCCCCCCGCCAAAGTGTAGATCGCCGTGGCAACCAGGATAAGGGGTGCTGCCTGCCACAGATTGAGCCCAGCCACGACCTCCAGTACGATGCTGCCCGCAAACAGTGAGCCACCGATTTTGGATATGACGTAGGCTACCAATGTGATCATGACGAACAAACCCCTGGAAGCAAGTGGGCTCGTAAGTGCATTAGCAAATTTTGCTTGTAAAACGACAAGAAGACAGCTCCTGCACAGATTGCGTGCAGCGTGGAATCAAGATGGACATGGGGACCAAAATATATGCTGGGCACCAAAACTAGTGCTCGTGAGCAGCCCCTCACATCCCCAAATAAATCAGATTGTTACACCTCAAAAGACAAGCAGGCCATGCAAAGGGCAACACCTCCGAACCTGGTGTGTATGAGACTCTTCCATACTGTGAAACGATGCGAAACGATGATGTAGAGTCATCCGGCATCAGATGAAGAGTATCGCTCGATAAGTGATTCGGCCGCAATGCCTCTCTTTCAGCAGAATACACTCGATCAACAAATGTGCCCTTTGCAAGCAACATGACAAGCAGAACACTGATTCAGGCATGGATTCCTGCTGCGCTCAGATGAGCTGACACACCTGCACCATTTGTTGAACCTTGCCTCCAGGAATTCAGGAATAGTTGTGAGTTTGCAGCGAAGGTAGACTGGTGCAAATACCCAGCCAAGTGCAAGGATGAGATAGGCAGCCATCCAGTCATACAGGCCAACTGCCATGCCATGCTGCGCCCCAGCACCGGCTTGGCCAACAAAATGCTCCGTCCCTGAACAGCCAAAGAGGGGCTTCTGTGCATTTCAAAACAACACAACATCCAACGGTTAGCAGGGGGTGCCCTGCGTACAGCATGTTTATGACAATCAACAAGGAGCTTGTGGCTACCATGCTCAGAAATGCAACGAGACATGTTTCACAAGGACTGTATCGTAGTCCAAACCCCAACACTGCAGGGATGGCAAGTCGCACTGCCAATGACTAAGCTGCATTATGTCAGTGAAATGTAGTCAAAGTGGAAGGTCGCTCACTACAACTGGCATTCAAGGAATTTATGTTTGGCAGCTCCTCTTTCTGTATTTGTTTGCATGCACAACCGCAGCACATTTCTTGGCATCAGCAGCCTGGCAACAAAAGAAAAGACAGTCTGGAACAATGCAGCATGTGTTCTGGCTGCATCCAAACCATCGTAGTTTCAGGTTTGTTTTGGGTGCTAGGACTGCTTGGAACCAGGTTATATGTCTATGCTTTTGGGCCATGAAACATTGGCAAAACCGGGATGCACATGCACAAGAAAATGGCACCAAAACCCCAGTACCAAGGCTGCTCATGCAGTAAAAACAGATTGTGCATATGCATGGGAAGTAATGGAGTTATCAATGCCCAGGACATGAGCTGAAATCATGTACGACCTGTGAGAACAATGACCAGCAGCCTACAGAAAGAGAGTTGTGAAAAATCCCAACACAGGGTCCCCAGTGTCTGACTTGATTGGAATCAGGCAGGACCAATGTCTGTTTGTGCTCGAATGGGAAAGCAGCTGGCTGTGCATCACATACATAGAGAGATACAGAAATGTTCTTACACTAATGCACGTCGACTATTACATGCTGTGGCTCCCACAGATTCAAGCATCGGAGAGGCACGCACATGGGTAAGATGAGAATGGGGGAAGGACAAGGTAACTCTTGTCACTGGAAGTATGAATTCAGCTATGAGGTGTTGCTGTGAGTATGCAGCCCTGCAAGGGCTACAGGTATGCAGCACCTGAGCATCATCGCCATATCCTGAACAGGTGGCAATCCTCACTACCTCTTCAGGGTTATTGCGATTATGAGGACTTTCCAGACATGTGCACAGCACGTGATATGTGATTTGTTGAGTTCGATATTGCCATGTGATTTGTCGTTTGACAATTTTGTTGTGTACTACCTGACATCTTTCACCTGATGTCAGGCGCTGTCCACAACAGGAGCAATATTCACAGCAAAATCGCTCGACAGTTCCCACCAGACTGGTCCCAATGATGAAGCGTACGCATGGGACAAGATTCGATGCGATGGCAACAGGATGTCAACCTGGCCCCAGCCAAGGTACTGCAAATACCAACGAATGGACTTCTGAGTTTTGTTGTGAATCATTCATTTTGATTGCATTCGTTGAAACGTCCATGAAAGCAAGTCCCTTGCAGCTTGCCCTAGATTGTGAGGAGAAGGAGACGGGCATTTGTGTCTTCATCCAAAACTCTCGACAGAAATATCCGCAGAGATCTGTGCTGGATCTTAACTGCCTCTCCGGCTGGGACCCCCCCGCGCCCCAGCACGTTCATCCCTTGATTGCTCCCTCCATTTGAAGCAACCGGTCGTGGCGCCGCGCCCCCAAGCATCCCAAGCTCGCAACGCGAAAGAAACCCAACGGCAGCCCTCCGAAACATTCACGGCTAGCAACCTGCCCGATTGTGTGACCGGAATGCGCGGCAACGGCAGCCCACATCCTCGACAAAAGACACAACGCAATCTATCCATAATCCAGCTCGACAGCGCGGACACAGCCCCACGACATCCAAAACCCCTACAAATTGCCACCGCTCCCCTGCGCGTCACGCCCCGGCACCTCCCGTCACCATCCCTTTCAACCAACCTCCGCAAAACATCGATCCGCCTCCCTTGCAGGCCCCGCACCCACCAATTTCCCACCCCCACCCGTCATCCGTCCCTTCCTCCCATCGCACCTATGTTGGACGCGAACAGCGACGCAGCGATGATCCACCAGGGCATCGCCCTGCCCGCCAGGAAGAAGCCATCGGCCCTGCCTGAGCCGTCGTTGGCCGCCCGCTTCTGCCTGACGGTGCTGTAGTAGGCGATGGCGAACACGCCCAGGAGGGACGCCGCGGTGATCGCCAGGTCCAGGCCGGAGAGGTGCTCGCCCATGGCCCGCCCTTGGAGCAAGCCTCGCCCTCGGCCGTTTGTCAAAACGGGGTCCTTTTGATGGGGAGGTTCGCACCACGTCGTGGGGAACCCAACAGTAAGGCAGATTGGGAGGGTTGGAACTCCTCGCAGCTAGGCTTGCATTAGTAGTGGTTGCAAGTCGGACACGGGTCGGGGACAATTTGGCCAAGCTGCATTCTACCCCAGATATCGTACCCGTATCGGAGCCCCCCCCCCATACGACACTGTAGCGGGCAACAGGAGCATTTTCCGCAGGCACTGTACAGTACCAGAGGACGTGTCCTCTGATTAAGCTGGGCGGTGGGGGACCGTCATCGGTCGGTGTATCAGCGGGCGAGCAGCACCGTAGTTTGCATCCCGTTTACTTGGGAGCCCTTCTTCATGAGTGGTGCCTGCGCACGAAAAGCTGGGGTATGTTTAACGTGGCCCAGGATGTCTGATGACCCTAACGCGCCTGGAGACAGGGCGGGAGAATTTCATCGCGACCCTGAGAGAAGTCAGCTGCCGCTGCGGCCCACGGCAGCAGGCGTCGGGTGGCACTGAGCCCCAGTGACTGGGGCTCCGCGCACAATGACGACGATTCATGGCACACGTTTGCTCGGTTGGGATGATGGGGCACTCGAAACACGAACCGGTGTCAAAGCGGTGCGGTGGAGCCGACGCTGACAGAAACCGGCATCCCTGCGATGCCAACTGCGACGCCATTTTTGACGTTATTTGATCCCGTCACCGCTCTTTGTGCCATCTCAATCAATGTGGTGGGACCACGCAGTGGCAGCATGGAACCGCAGCTGGCATTGCAAATACGTTGCACTCTGCTAGTGCGCTTAGCAGGGCAACGCCGCAGTGTCCACCAAAAGTGCTGCACCACAGCCATCCAGAATATGCGGCGTGGGTTGTGTGTCCATGGGATGCTGTGCGCACTCAGGCGCCGTGGCCGCTGCTAGGGAAGAGTGTATTAGTCGCTCTGTCTTTTCCGTGAGGATCCCTTCTTCCACTGACAAGGACAACGCCGGTAAGAGAGTCAGTGGTTTTAGGGTTATGGGTGTCCGAACAAGAAGGGGCCTTTACGGAAAAGTCCGTGCGACTAATTGGGTGCAGTGCCACGGAACGCTGCCGATCGGCTGGCGAGGACGCAAGGTGATTCAAAACTGGGAGAGGTGATGGGAAAAGACTTGCAGTCGGGCTGACTCGTTCTGAGGAGTTGACTGTTCAACAGGTGAAGTTCACCTCCTGAACATTCACCTCCGTTCATGGAGGCTGGCTGACAGGTGGTTACAGGCGACCTGCGGCACGTCGCACGGCACAGGCCTTATAGAGGAAACCACAAACTGGTCGCCGTACACGGACGCCCCCGACAGCAGCGGCCGTTTGATTTGACCGGCGGGAAAAGTGCGGGGGTCTCCAGCCAGCTCAACTTTCTGCCATGTTTGTCTGCACTTTTTTGCGCTTCGAGCCTAGTTGCTGTCGCTGTGGTGGAAATTTCGCAGGTACCTGGTTTGCAGGCCCCGGTGACTGGCCACAAATGGCGGCAGTAGATCTGACTGATCGAATGCATTCGATCAGTCGCATATGCCGTCTCGGTGCACCAGTAGGAAACAGCCTGTTTGCGATGCCAACTGCGTTGCCATCTGACAGAAATTGATACCATCACAGCCCCTTTTTTGCCATCGCAAACACTGGGATAGCATCAATTTGTGTCAAAATGGCATCGCACCTGGCATCGCAACATGGCGTTTTCTACCAGTGGTGGCTGTACCCTGTGCGCACTGACAAGCGACTGACACATATTCAAAATTGCACAGTAGGGTCCCTTTTGCACCGCTACAAGAAAAAACTATAAAAAAACTGATGCGCCCCGGTGGCGCGGGATGCGAAGTGATGGGGAAGTGGCCTACCGACTGTCGGGATGATCGTAAGCGGGAATTCGTGATAGGAGACGGCCACGGCATGTCGTGCCCACCAGATACAAATCGGCTCTGTCCACCCCAGAGGGTCAGAGACCGATGACTGAAGTCCTGGGGCATGTACTACACTCCTTTCTGCCCGTGTGGCTGTGCGGTGGTGGGCGTGTGGAGGCGACGACAAGGGAGGTGATCCCAAGTCCCGCGCTGCCTTGTGGGTCGGTCTCTCAGGGTCGCTTTGTGATGTGTGTGGGCCCTCACTCAGAATCCGTGGTACTGAATGCTGGAATTCGGTGTGCGTTGGTGCTCGCGGCGGGTGCCACTCATGATAGAGCGCCGGGGATGTTTGATGGTGAAGCCGAGCGTGCATAGCAAGGCGATGGCGGGTTGAAAATGGTGGAGGCGTCAATCACTCTGCCGTGATGGGCGTGACGCCAGCAGCACTTAGTAAGTAGCTTTGCTATCTTTTGTCACGACTTGGGGATGGCGTGGCTGCCAACGATTGATGTTTTACTGAGGCGCAAAGGTGGAGCACCGGTCAGGGTGACATGGGCGTTGCCCTGGTGCGTTTGGCCGGGCTTTGGTAGGGTGCGACGACTCATTTTTGCCAGATACCCGCAGTGGTTGGAGGGCAGGTGAGAGCGCATACTGAAGGGGAAGGCATGTAAGCCCCATAGGACGCAATGGTCATCAATGTCGAGGCCCAAGTATTTGACTTTGATTTGCGTTAACTCTGATGATCGTGCCGCCGTTTAGTGGATGACGTTTTAACAACCTAGCGTTTAACGGAAGCCGGAGCGACGAGTTTGACCACTGGTCAGCGCTCGCGGCTGGCAACCGCTGTAGCAATTCCTTGAATGCCTGAGTGACGAATTTGACGAGAATGACCATCGGGCGACAACACGATATTCCGGGCGGAATGACGGCGAGAATGAAAACTCCTGTGTGTGCGAGTACTTGCACGTCCTTGTTCTGCATCCCAGAGAATCCAACAGCCAAGCAAGCGGCCAGAGGAGCGTGTGTGCACGCGTCAAGAACGTCATCAGAGCCGGGGTCCTGACTGTGACTCGCGCTCTTGTCGCCCAAGCGGCAGAGCACAGATGATGCTTTTGTCTTGTTCTCGGATTGTGCTGAGTCGGCGCGCACTGCGCACTACCCCCTCCACAGCCCGTGCTGACCTTTCATTTCCATTTGCTTGCATTGGCGCCGCATCGAAGGTGCTCCCGCGCACCTTCTGGTCCTGGCCGCCGTTGCCGATTGCGCTCCCCGAAGCCACGCAGCTCAGCCGGGGTTGGTGCTGAAACCTCAGCTAAATCCAGGACGAAGGGACTCCAGGTAGCGGCAAGCACGGTGTGCGGGCGCGCCTGGCACCCGGTCGTGGTCCCGATTCTCGCGGGAAGGCTCTGCAGCACTGGCGCTGCCCCCACGGCTCCCTCGCCCACGGCCCAAGTGCGCGGAACCTTGGCGGATCGGTCGCGAACGGTCTTCATTGTGGCGCTCACCAAATGCGGTGATGCGAATGTGGGAATCGGACGGCCGGGGCACAGCGGATAGGTAATGTGATGGCGCGGCTGAAACGTGGTGCCCTGCTTCGCGTGCCGAGCCCGATCCGGGTCTTGATCGCAGGCCGGCGGGCGCCATAGCACGCGTGCGTGATTGGACCCGCTCGATGTGAGCCCAACTGTGCGCCGCGGTCGCGGCAGCGCGGTGTCTCGAAATTGCCGCAGGAGTAGTGGTAGTGGGACTGGCTAGCTCGAAGGCGCGGTCGCATAGGCGTGTTGAGATGTCGGGGCTGGTGTCATCTTCTGCTCTCACGTTGGCGGCGGGCTAGCCCCTGGGGATTCGAGGATCCGCAGCCTCTCTGCGGAAAGCTCGAAGGTGCTGAACCATTGCCTTGGGAGGATTCTTGTCTCACATATCTGTCTTCCTGTCGCGACTCGACCTCGCCGCTGGCCAACGACGCACCTGCGTTTGTATGCTCGAGTGCCCAATGCATGAGCTCGGGCCTCTGCTTCACAGCACTAGCTGCCCAATGTACTGCAAGAAATGTCCGAGCCAAGAACACCGCCAAGCCGTATGCGGCCAGAAAGGGGCGCTTTGGCGCACTGTTGCAGGCCCCATTGTGATTGCTCAACACAAGGGCGCCCCAATGCCCACAAAGTAGTAAGGCACAATCCATAGAATTACCCCTGCAACATAATGGAAGACATCTATCTGTATCACCACACTTGCGTCAGCAGTGTCCTGGAAATGTGGACGTGTACCACTCGCTGTCGAAGTGCCCTTAAGCTTAGATGCGCAGTGCATTGGCAGGAACAAAAATTGACGATAAATGCCGGATCCGCCTTTGGACATGCGAGTGCAGACACCTAGATATTTTCCCCTGGTTGAATGAAATTATTCCTATGCCGTGATATGAGACAGAAACGAGTGTATTCCAAGAAGTCAACCAGCTTGCCTGGTGGACAGAAATGTTGATCCTGGGGCATTGAACAAATAATGATTATATGGTTTGTGCCGTTCATCGTCTGCAAGGCCCAAGGGCTTTCTTAAGCATGGTTTTGTGAAGAACGTACTCCAAGGATTTTCGGCAACGCATTTTCTCATCCCAAAGCCATTACGTATTTTGCCAGAGAGAAGTGGCACCAGCAAAAAACAGGGAGCCGACAGCCCACCTAATAAAACTCTGTGAAATCAGTGCAATGAATGTGGCTTAAAAGGCAGATAAACATGGTTTAAAAAGCAGGAAAATATGTGTCTGTAAAAACTGTCTGAAGCAAGAAATCAGAGCATAGTGCAGACAGAGTGAAAGGTCAAGACTGCATACGCCATGGCGGGCTGCCCACATGGAAGCCTAAACAACACTATATGAGCAAAACCCAGAAGTCCCTTTCCAAGCTTTCCTACCCCATCTCTCTCTGCTGTGTATCAAGATATGCATGCATCGCAGAGCTGTGCAAGGTGTCTGACTTTTGGCTCTTGAGCTTTGCACTGCTTCCAGGAGGAGAATCTGCATTTCCTCAGCATTTTGTGGAGAAAGAATCCGTCTTTGGCAGGTGCTAGGTGCCTTGCTGATCC